AAAAAAAAAAGAGAAGTCAGGCCAGGTGTGGTGGCTCACACTTATAATCCTAGCACTCTGGGAGGCTGGCGTGGGAGGAAAATAAATAAATGAAAAACAAAATTAGCTGGGTGTTGGATTCCCCACTTGTAGTCCCCACTACTTGGAAGGCTGAGGCAAGAGGATTGCTTAAACCCAGGAGTTTGAGGTAGCTGTGAGCAAGGCTGATGCCATGGCACTCAAGCCTGGGCAACAGAGTGAGACTGTCTCAAGGAGAAAAAAAAAAAAGAAAAAGAAGTCTAAGAACATCTGAAACAATTTGACCTCAAGTGGATTCAGAGTGCCCTTATCCACCAGGGTTAAGGCTGCCCAGGCTGCTGTTACGTCTGGGTAACCTGAACCTACATGTGACTTTACCTTTACCTCCTGAAGGTTGTCAGGCTCTTATTTCTGTCAATCCTCAGCTGTCAATGATCCTAGCTTTCTGAGGGACATGACCCTCTAATACAGCGGTTCTTAGCCTGTGGGTCACAACCCACAGGAACTGTATTAAAGGGTTGTGTTGTTCGAAAGGTTAAGAACTACTACCCCAATACCTCCTCACCAGCTCATGTGTAAACATCTTTCGATACACAGGTGGTCTACACACAGACCTCATTCTTCTTCTCTCTCTGTCAGGTGCCAATGAGCAGAGGGAAGGAGCTGTTATGGAAGGCCATCAGGAACCAGGTGAACTGGGGCAAGTGTTCTCCGGCTCAGGGAGGGATTTGGTTGTTTGGTTGGGGGGGTGTTACTTTTTGATTTTCGTTTTTTTTATTTTTGTTGGGTTTTTTTTGTTGAGACATTCTCACTCTGTCACCTTGGGTAGAGTGCTGTGGTGGCAATAGCTCACAGAAACCTCAAATTCTTGGGCTTGAGCAATCCTCCTGCCTCAGCCTCCCAAGTAGCTGGGACTACAGGCAGGTGCCACCATGCCAGGTAGTTTTTCTATTTTTTTTTTTTTTTTTTTTTTTAGTAGAAACAGGGTCTCGTTCTTGTTCATTCTGGTCTCCAACTCCTGAGCTCAAGTGACTTACCTGCCTTAGCTTCCTAGAGTGCTAGGATTATAGGCGTGAGCCATAGGCCAAGAAAATTTGGCCTTTCTTTCCAGGCTTTTCTAAAGTACACACATGCACACTCTGTGAGGCATGTGATGTTGTCATTATTTTCTTCTTACTATTTAGGGGTTGGAGGCTCAGAGAAGTCAAGTAATTTGTCCAGAGTCATCTAGGGAGTAAGTATTCAAGCCAGAGCCAACACCAACTCCAACTCCAGAATCCACCAAGAGAACCTTGAAGGGATGTGGCAGGAGAGGTCTCTGCACAGAAAGAAGCCAGACTTTGTACATTTTTTTTTTTTTTTTTGAGACGGAGCCTCAAGCTGTCCCCCTGGGTAGAGTGCCATGGCATCACGCTCACAGCAATCTCCAACTCCTGGGCTCAAGCGAGTCTCCTGCCTCAGGCTCCCAAGTAGCTGGGACTATAGGCGCCCGCCACAGCGCCTGGCCATTTTTTGGTTGCAGCCATCATTGTTGTTTGGCGGGCCCGGGCTGGGGATTCAAACCCGCCACCTTAGGTGTATGTGGCTGGCGCCTTAGCCGCTTGAGCCACAGGCGCCAAGCCAGACTTTGTACATTTTTACAAGTATTCGTTTGTCCCTTTTGTGAGAATCCAGCCAAATGGCAGGAAAGAACGAAAGGTGATATTATGAGAAGGGTGGTGCAGATAATACCAAAAAGGAGGTACATAGAGGCCAGGTACAATGGCTTACACCTATACTTAGTCCCAGTACTTTAGGAGGCCAAAGTAGGAGGATCACTTGAGGCCAGGAGTTCAAAACTACCCGGGGCACATAGTGAGATACTGCCTCTACAGAAATTTAAAAATTAGCCAGACATGATAGCACACATCTGTAGTCTTAGCTACTCTATAGAGGGTGAGTGAGGAGGATTACTCAAGGCCAGAAATTGGAGGCTGCAGTGACTGTCATCAAGCCACTGCACTCCAGCCTGGACTACAGAACAAGACCTTGTCTCTCTATTTTGTTTTTTAAAGGATACACTGGCTATGGTGAGGGGGTGGTGGGTGCTACTGGACTGAGCCAGGAGAGTAGGAAAGGTCTGCAGCCACCACAGTGTCCTGCTCTATCATGATGGCCACCACTATTTATCATGTACTTTGTATTAAGAGTTTTCAACACAGAGGCTCTCCCAAGAAACAGCTCTCTTACAAGTGTATGTTCCTTCCTAGTCACAAGGTGGCTGGAGCAGAATGTATAGGCAGATCAGCAGTCCTTCTCCCCCAGACCCTCCCCTGATGTGGCCAGCCCAGAGGGAGGAGTGCCTTCTTGGGGCTTGGGATGGACTCTCTGGGCACTGTACTCGTCTTCACCCCAACCTCCCCTATCCCCTGTGGATGACTCAGGGCTCTAGAAGGACTTTCAGTTTGTCCCCGTCATGTGCAGTCTTGGGAATCCTCTGCCTTGTCATTTTAGGGGAGCAGCAGTGGAGAAGGCAGTGGGAGCAGCAGCCAAGGCCTTCTGACCAAGGCCCGCTCCTGGGGAGTGAGGATTCTGCACGTGGACGGTATAGTTTCTGCCCTGGGCTCCCGTGGAGGGGAGAATTGGTGACTTGACTGGGAATGTCCGCTTTTAGAGGGATCATGATTGTGTAAACATCTGGTAGCAGGAAGCCAGAAATACTCAGTTACTGTGTTGATTCACAAAGGTGAGAGGGTGTGGGGAAGGAGAAAAGCAGTAACAATAGCTGAGTGCAGGCTGGTGGCCTTAGCATTGTGCAGGGACCTGGCACATGCTATTTGGCTAAACTCACTATGGCTCTCTCCAAGCTAGCATAGTGATCCTGTTTTACAAATAAGAAAATGACTCAAATATTCATGGCCTCTTATCAAGTGTTTACTCTGTACTAGGAATTACCTCCTTTAATCCTCTCTGCAGTCCTGCTCATGTTGTGCAGATGAGGGAGCTGAGCCTCAAAGGGACTAGGTAAATTGTCTATGGTCCTACCAGAGTGAATAGTGTGGCCCATGTTCCAACTCAGTTTGACCCAACTGTAAATTTTGTATTCTTTTCTTTTCTGTAAGGTTGCCTCAAACTCTGAACAACCTGTTTGTGGGCTCTAATAAATTTACACTAGAATGGTTGTCCTGATGGGCCAGGTGCAATGACTCATACCTGTAATACCTGTAATCCTAGTGCTCTGGGAAGCCAAAGTGGATCACTGAGCTCAGGAGTTTAAGATGAGCCTCAGTAAGAGTGAGACCCCATCTCTATTAAAAATAGAAAAATTAAGGGGAGGGTATGTGGAGGGAGGGTGATTGGTGGGATCCCACCTATGGTTCATCCTATAAGGGTACATGTGAATCTCTCTAAATGTAGAATATAAATGTCTTAACACAATAACTAAGAAAAAGACATGAAGGCTATGTTAACCAGTTGGATGAAAGTACTTCAGATTGTATACAGATACAGTATACCCCATGATAGTGTTAATGTACACTGTTATGATTTAATTAAAAAAAATAGAAAAATTAGCTAAGTGTGGTGGTAGTGGGCACCTGTAGTCTCAGCTACTGGGGAGGCTGAGGCAGGAGGATTGCTTGAGTCTAGGAGGTTGAGGTTGCTGTGAGCTAGGCTGATGCCACAGCACTCTAGCTTGGGAAATAGAATGAGACTCTGTCTCAAAAACAAAAAGGAAAAATTAGTCGTGTGTGGTGGCATGTACCTGTAGTCCGAGCTCCTCCGGGGCTGAGGCAAGAAGATCACTTAAGCCCGGAAGTTTGAGCTATGATGATGCCACTATACTCTATCCATGGTGACAGAGTTAAACTCTGTCTCAAAAAAAAATAAATGGGGGTGGTGTGTGTGGCTCATTGAGTAGGGCACCAGCCCCATATACCAAGAGTGGAGGGTTTGAACCTGACCCTGGCCAACTGCAACAAAAAAATAGCTGGGCGTTGTGGCAGGTGCCTGTAGTTCCAGCTACTTGGGAGGCTGAGGCAAGAGAATCGCCTAAGCCCAGGAGCTGGAGGTTGCTGTGAGCTGTGATGCCAAGGCACTCTACCGAGGGTGATAAAATGAGACTCTGTCTCAAAAAAAAAAAAAAAAATAAGGAATAGTTGCCCTGCATTGGCTGGCAGTGACTGATCTTATACCCAGCTTCGCTGTTAGTCTAAGGTTTTTTTGATTGATTTTAGGGGGTTGCTACAGATGAGACATATCTTAGATGCTGACCACGTGCTGCCCCACCCTTTGGTACTGAGATTTCTAGAAGGGGTTAGGGACTATATAGGAGAAGTTCCTGGTCTGGGAGGTAGAAGGCTCCAACTCACTGAAAAATCAGCCATTTCTAACTTGATCTCATTTCCTGGCCTCCTCTATGTTGGAGAAGCTTAGCCTGCTTAGCTCCTGCTGGGTCTTCCACCCAAGGGTACATCTGAGTAGCTCATACGGCATTGCCTCCAGCAGCTCTTCAGTAGTACTGTAATGAACTTAGCAAGCCATAAAGCACCTCCTGTTCAGTGATAAGTTGTTTGGGGTTTGTTGTTTTTTGTTTTGGGGGGTTTTTTTGCAGTTTTTGGCCAGGGCTGGGTTTGAACCTGCCACCTCCAGCATATGGGGCTGGCTTCCTACTCCTTTGAGCCACAGGCGCCGCCCATGTTGTTGTTTTTTTTATTTGTTTGTATTTGCAGTTTTGACCGGGGCCAGACTTGAACCTGCCACCCCTGGTATATGGGGCCAGCACCCTACTCCTTGAGCCACAGGCACCACCCCTGAGTTTTGTAGCATCATAGTAATTGATGCTACAAAAGAACATGAAGCCAGCTTAGGTACTTCTCTGGTGATAAAGGGCCTACCTCTTACTTGTCAGGAGATGCAGAGGTGACATGTAGCCAGAAGGTGGCAGGCAAGGCTGGCATGATCCAATGGGCTGGGCTGGGGAGAAATTTAGTCCTGCATCCCTGGAAGGGGCATGCTGCATAAATGGGGTATGGAAGCCTTTGGCCACAGCCTTCTGTCTTCTCCATAGAAATGCTGATGCACGTGCAGCAGCTGTCTCTAGGTCCTTTATGTGTGAAGAAACAAGAGCCAAAGAAACCAGAGGTAGGTCATCCTGCTAAACTGAGGGGCAGATGGATGGTTTTCAGTGAAGTCTGACAACCCATGGCCTTCCCAAGCCATCTCTTCTTGGCCATTCTGCAAGATGGAAGAGGAGTACAGCCTCTCAGTTACCTCATTCCTGGGATCTACAGCTTTGCACTGCTCTTCTTTTTCCCTTTGGTACCTGCAACACTTCTATGGCACACTTACCCTGCTAAGGCATCACCATGACCTGGGCTGTAGGCTGCCTATGGTAGTCCTGGTCTGGCTGAAGTTCATATATGCTCATAGCCCACTGGCTAGGCTGCCATTCTGGGGATAGCTCTTGGCGTGGGACTAAACCTAAAGGTTGATGTTGAGATGGGGTAGAATAGCTGCCATCTTCTTGTTTGTTTTTTCATTTATTTGCTAGGGTTAGAACTGTGTGTATGACGTCAAGAGAGCCCAGGCTGGGCTGGGTATAGTGGCTCACACCTATAATCCTAGCACTCTGGGAGGCCAAGGAAGGCGAATTGCTTGAGCTCAGGAGTTCAATACCAGCCTGAGCAAGAGTTCAAAATGCCATCTCGGTCAGCGTCTATGGCTCAAAGGAGTAGGGCGCCGGCCCCATATGGTGGAAGTGGTGGGTTCAAACCCAGCCCAGGCCAAAAAACTGCAAAAAAAAAAAAAATGCCATCTCTACTAAAAATAGAAAATCTAGCCGGGTGTGATGGTGGGTACCTGTAGTCCCAGCTATTCAGGATTCTAAGGCAAAAGGATTGCTCAAGCCCAAAGAGTTTGAGGTTGCTGTGAGCTATACCCAGGGTAACAGAGTGAGACTCTGTCTCAAAAAAATAAAGAGAGAGCCCAGGCTGATTTAAATCCATAGCGTCTTCACCCATTCCTAAGTCTGAAGAAGTAAACCTGCCAATCCTTCCAGGCCTGGCATCTAGGAGCAGGACTGACAATAACAGCAAACCACGTCCAGTGTGGATGGAGTGCTGAGCTGCTGATACTCCTTTCTGCGCACCCTGTGCTCTAGGAGTTTGGTAGTTTGCTGTCTAATATATTTGTGTTATTCAAAATTCCAAAGGCTATACAAATGAAAAGTCTCTCCTCATTCCAGCTTCTGCACCCCACCCACTGACCTCGCTCCCTAACACAATGTAGACGGCTTCTCAGGTATCCTTCTAGGACTCTATACACGTACAAATACATCAGACATTCCCCCTGCATTTTTACTTTGCTTTCATTTAATGATCTGTTTTGTAGATCATGGGTCTTTTGGAGTGAGTTTTGCATGTCATCTGCTGACATGCAAAGGAATGTGGAAGGCTTCTTTTTATATTTACCTAGAGGAGAATTGGGAACCTCCTTGGGTCCAGAGGCATAAGAAGTCATGAATCCACTGGATCTCTCATCCTGGGCCCCCAGCTCTTTAGCTGATGTTTTTATTTTATTCCATTTAGTTTTTATTTTTTTCAGGTATACATTACCAGAAGATCCATTTAGTTTTTAATATCAGCTTTGTTAGACCTTGGCTTAAACATTGGTTTTGACACACAGAGTCAGGGTCACAAGATAGGACATAGGAAAGCAAGTGGCTGTTGTTTTTCACCTTGTCCTGTAAGGTGACCTGGAATGGCAGCAGTGCCTAGAAAATAAAGCTGCCATTTAGAGAGCACCTACTCTGTATCAGGTCTTTCCCATGCTTTGATCTAATTCATGCCACATCCTGTAAGGGAGGCACAGCTCCAGTTCCTACCCAGGGCTGTGGACTTCAGAGCTCTTGTCTCCACTGTCCTGTGTTCCCTCCACAATCAGCTGCCATGGCGATTCACACCTAGTGCTTGTGTTCATCATTGCTGGGGAGGCAGAGGGAGTCATTGTGCCCAGGTCCATTCTAGCTCGGGGCCTGCAAGTCTGGTTCTGCATGTCTCTCAACAGCAGGAAGCAAAGTGGGACAGACTGGCAGCGACTCAGCTTCTCAGACCCATTTCCTCGACCCCCGTGGCTCCCTCACATCCTTAACCTATTTTCCCTTTCCATTTAGGGAACACGTCCAGCAGCAGAGTCAAGAACGCGGAAAGGTCAGTGTCATTGCTTTTCCTCATCTAATTGCAATCCCTCCCTCCCTAAACACTTCCCCACGACTCCCTCTGTGGCAGCATCTGCTCGCTTTTCTGTGGCAGGAAGTGAGTCCAGGTTGCATTGCCCCCTCATGTTGCCAGGGCCTTGGCCTCAGGTTTCTGGGGTGAGAGAGGCCCATCAAGAGCAAGTCCAGAGCTACTGAGTTGGGGCTTCTTCTCTTTTAGAGCCAAGACCCCATGCAGACACTTTGGCTCCTGTGTCCTCTGGCAGTTCCTGGGCATCAATTGAAGTTCAGCATCCTTTTCCTTCTGATTCAGTGGCAGTTTGGGGGTGGGCAGTTTGACAGCTGCCTACTGCTTTCAGAACTGCCAAACTCCCTAAAACTGACAAACAGGCAGATTGATGGACTCCGTCTCCTGGCTTCTGTTGGACAGCAGGAGACTTTCTCCCCCTGGATGTTTCTCCCAAAGATGCTCTTTAAGTGGCATTTATTAGTGCACAAGCAGGAACTCAGAAAAGTCACTTGGCACCTCTCTTGTGCTCAAAATTCAGAGAAGTCTATGGGGGAATTGATTTTAATCACTGTCTCAGTTAATTAGAAAAAGAAATTGTCCCAAAGAAGTAATTAATGGGAGCTGCTGTTCAAGGAGAAAATGCTGCTTTCTGTTTGGATGCTAGTAGTACCTCAAGTACATTTAGGAGTTGTGAGGTGCCAACTTCTTTGTAAAATTTGTGGCTATCAGGTCTGCTCAGACTTTCAGGCTACTTAGGCTACTCCTTTTTTGTTTTTTTCTTGGAGACAGAGCCTCAAGCTGTTGTCCTGGGTAGAATTCCTTGGCATCACAGCTCACAGCAACCTCCAGCTCCTAGGCTCAAGCAATTCTCCTGCCTCCACCTCCCCGGTAGCTTGGACTATAGGCACCTGCTATAATGCCTGGATATTTTTTGGTTACAGACATCATTGTTGTTTGGCGGGCCCATGCAGGATTCGAACCTGCAAGCTCAGGTATATGTGGCTGGTGCCTTAGCCGCTTGAGCCACAGGCACCGAACCTGAGACACAGTCTCACTATGTCACCCTGTGTAGAGGGCCATGGCATCATAGTTCACAGCAACCTCAAACTCTTGGGTTCAAGCACTTCTCTTGCCTCAGCCTCCCAAGTAGCTGGGACTACAGATGCCTACCACAATGCCCAGCTATTTTTGTTGTTGTTGTTGTTGTCATTTTTGTTTAGCAAGCCTAGGCCAGGTTCAAACCTGCCAGCCCCAATGTATGTAGCCAGCACCCTAACCACTGAGCTACTGGGCGCTGAGCCTTGGCTACCCCTTTGACAGGACTCCTGGTCACTGTAAGAAGTTAGAAGTGGTTCTTAATGCTTAAGAGATTTTGTAAACTATGCAAATAACTAGCTGGTAGGGAGTGAATCTCTTGATTGACTCCAAATTTGTCTTCTCAGCACTTCTTTGCCCTATTTTTTTCAGGAACCAGATTTTACTTATGATATTTGTCTGCCATCCCATCCTCTTACTGAGATTGCTTAGCACTCTTTTTCCCTCTTCCTCTCTGCTTTCCACCCAAAAAAAATCTCAGGGTCCTCCTGGAGAATTCTGTCTGAGCAAGAATTCAGGATTCTGAATTCTCAGGATTCAGAGGCACCAGGAGCAGAGGTCTAGGGAGAACCTAGAACTTTGTGGAACTGACCACCCAGTCCTGCAGGGTCTGGGTTTCTCACAGTGGTGGCATCCTGGATTGGTTGATATTCTCCAGGACCCACACAGGAGCATTGAGGGAATGCACGTTTAGTTACCCTGCAGCCTCTCCCCTACTACTGGAGGAGATTAGAGAGGTGCCTAACTTGTGCCAAGTGGAAGGACACAGCTTGGGACGGTGTGATTTCCAGTCTTACAAGGCTCTTAGGCTTTGGCAGCACCCTGAGCATTTCCTGCATGTGTACGGAGAGCCCTACACTGGGGCAGATAGAGCTAATGTGTTCATTCTTCCTTGTGCAGTGGCCAGACTGAAGGCACCGTTCCTCAAAATTGAAGATGACAGCAGGTGAGTAAGAATTCCTCTCTCTCTGCTCGTAGACGGGAAAGGTGCTTAGGGGGCCCAAGCTGACATGGGGACATGGAGCCCCTCATCCCTGCACCTTCAACTTCCTTAGAAATTGCTTTCTCTTAATTCTAGCACTCTGGGAGGCCAAAGTGGGTGGATTGCCTGAGCTGAGGAGTTTGAGACCAGCCTAAGCAATAGTGAGACCCCTGTCTTTAAAAAATAGCCGGGCGGGCTCGGCACCTGTGGCTCAAACAGCTAAGGCGCCAGCCACATACACCTGAGCTGGCGGGTTCGAATCCAGCTTGGGCCCACCAAACAACAATGACGGCTGCAACCAAAAAAATAGCCAGGCGTTGTGGCAGGCGCCTGTAATCCCAGCTACTTGGGAGGTGAAGGCAGGAGGAGACTCGCTTGAGCCCAGGAGTTGGAGGTTGCTGTGAGCTGAGACGTCACAGTACTCTACCCAGGGCGACAGCTTGAGGCTCTGTCTCTCAAAAAAAAAAAAAATAGCCGGGCGTTGTGGGTGCCTATAGTCCCAGCTACTCGGCAGGCTGAGGCAGGAGGACTGCTTGAGGGTAAGAGTTGGAGGTTAGTGTGAGCTATGACACCATGGTACTCTATCCAGGGTGACAGAGTAAGACTCTGTCTCAAAAAAGAAAGGAAGCTGCTTTCTCCCACTGTCATGGAGGAGTCTCATGCAGACCAGGGTCAGCCTGTGAAGGTGACATTGTATAGTTGTTGCTGCTCTTGGAGCTGAGTCAGAGGTTAATGGTTGTGTGTGTGAATCACCTCCATTTAATGCTCTGCTTCTGTGAGCTGTAATGTCCCAATCCAGGCTTGTTACTGCAGCTCATTTCTCCCTGGGTATACACTGACAGTTAATGTTGAATCATTACTGGCACAGCCACAGTGCTAGTACAGTCCAAGACATCATCATGGCTGAAGTGAGGATGCTAGGGCTGGTATCGGGGGTTCCCTTGTCAGACCACCATATACTTGATGAAGCCTTTATGTTTTGCTTTGTGAGCAAAGTATGTGATCTCATGACAGCCCTGGATGAAAAAACCATGATAACAGTTCATCTCTTCTTAGTGGGGAAAACTGAGGTCAAAGGCAGTAAGGGCCTGTGTATAACTGCTATGTTAGTAAATTTCAGTCCAAGGCCAGAATCCAGATGTCTTGATTGCCCTGCCTGGTGCTGTCTCTGTCTACTATTATGGCCTCTTATCTAGAGGAGGAGGGGCCCATTGATGATGTTAATGTGATGGGCTATTAGCCACCTTGGTTATCACTAAATCTTTAGTAAGTACTAATCAAGGCTCTGTGCCTGTAGCAAAAAACATAAAATAAGTACTAATCAAAAGTCCATGTGAATCTATAATCTATATCTCTTTTTTTTTTTTTTTTGAGACAGAGCCTCAAGCTGTCCCCTGGGTAGAATGCCATGGCATCACAGCTCACAGCAACCTCCAACTCCTGGGCTCAAGCGAGTCTCCTGCCTCAGCCTCCCAAGTAGCTGGGATTACAGGCCCCTGCCACAACACCCAGCCATTTTTTGGTTGCAGCCATCATTGTTGTTTGGCGGGGCCTGGGCTGGGGATTCGACCCCTTCTCTCTTATCCCTGCCACCACAGTCACCCT